TTTGCAGGCATCTCGTTCCATCCTGTTGGGGGCACCTTCAAGTGACAAATTTCACGAAGCAGTAAATGCAGCAGCGTTATGTCGAACGCTTTCGAGTCTGGTGGACCACCCGAAGGCGGAAATAACTTTTCCCACTGGTCATCAAATATTACCCGCCTGGATTTCAGACTGTGAAGCTTGCGAAGATTGTTGTTAAATACGCGCTGTAATATCGCGGTTGGATGAACAGAATGTAAAACCTTTCTAAGAACATGTGTTCCTCCATCAACCAGTAGTCGTGCCAGTCTTGTGCCATTCGTCTTTTCTTGTGATACAGCAGAGACCGACGATCCAGCAGAAGAACCAGCAGAAGAAGCTGCGGCGGCAGCTGCCATGTTTGAAGCTCACTGAGATTCCTCGAAATAATATACTGTCAAAGCACCTTTTCCGAGAAATGTCGTTTTCAAAATGATTTCCAAGCTTAAGTCAGTTCGAATTAAGCCTTACATGACTTACATTGCTGCAGTCTGGACCACTGAGTCCATTTCGTAGTGTATCAGATGTGTTAGATCCGTTCGGTTCGTTTCTAGCAAAACGTGTTAATTATTAAGAAACTACTTGATGATAAAGCACTTTCAGTTTGCGAGAAAGACGACAGTTGTTTTCAGCTCGTCTGTCAAATTAGCATATGCCTCTCTAATTTCAGACAGGGGCCAATGCTTCCACCAATAGGACACGACTGAGCTCTTGTGCATGGCCATGGTTACCGACTACAGACGGTAATTGAAAACTGTAAACTGTTAGTGATATTGCATTTGTTTTCTGCCTTTTTCGATTTCGCTTTAAATGCTTTCTATTTTACTCAAATGTTTGACTTCTTTGAGCAAATATTTTGCCATAAGATTCCATCAATGCGTTGCCACAACGGGCAAACCAGTCAAGAAATTACTTAATGGTAATGAACTTTCAGTTTCCGACAAAGAGAGATGTTTTCAACTCGCGAGTCAAATTAGCATATGCCTGTTATTTTCGACAGTGGTCAATGCTTCCACCAATAGACGACAACTAAGCTCTATCTCGTGCATGGCCATGGTTACTGAGTACAGCCAATGACGCAAAACTGTATACTGTTAGTGACATTGTATCATTTCGCCATAATGCTTTCATTTCACGGTCGAAGCCAGATTAAAATTCTTACCTAAGCAACTTGATCAGGAAAAATACTTTTGTATATTGATTTATTACTTTTTTTTAGATGCATAGCCTCTTACAAGAACTTGAAATAAATACACAAAGTTCCGGTATGCCTATGGTACTACAATATTGAGCTCACTTTAAAGTTCATTTTCTCGGAAAGCAAGCAATGACGCGATTCTAGCCGCGCGTTCAACGATCGAATAAAAATACGTCCGCCGCTGTCTGCTAACGCTAACACTGGGGGTTCCGTTATTTCATTGGCTGGCGGCTTTTCGTGTTGGCATTCAGTTCTGTATGAGAAGGTGTGACATGTTTATAAATCTTTAGAGGGCGAAAACTCGCTTTTTAAGAGAATCCCTCCTCTTTAAATGAATTAACGGGGTATGTAAGATAGATGAATTCCCGGAAACTTTGACCAGAACATTCACTGCAACACGTTTGGCGAATGTTTTGGTACCAGAACTTGACAGATCTATAAAAATATAACCAAAATAAATACAAGAAAATGCTGACGCTATTTGAGGGATTGATGCTTTGCGTTTAACACTGCCCAGTTATTTTGCATCAACAATCGTATTTCATTCCCCAATAACTCGACGCAACGCTTCACGGCTCTGTCATTTTGGCATTTACGCGCTACCGCCGCCGTAGGAAAGGAATGACTAAACCAAAGCATAATTTAAACGAATTCTACGTTTCAAAACCTTCCTATTAATATATAGTTTGTGGGCGTTTCTTTGAAAACAGCGCGTGTGCGAATTTTTTGTTGGAAGGACATCCACGAACTGCTTAGTCTCCTTCGTGGCAAGCGCTGCGTGACGACCCTAATAACGGCAGCGAATGAGACTAACGAAGGCTTGTAGTAACCTTAAGTCGGTTATATTTTCATCAGAGACGGACATCTTACACTAGCTCTACATTTCGATTTTCAGAGACACCATACAACTAAAGAACTCTTTCGAGAAAAATATCTTCGTCAATCGTTAGGCGAACAAATTTAATATTAGCATACCACCGCATGATCAACGTGTGTTCGGTATTCTCCATAGCCACATATAATAAAGTAAGTTTATAACTCAAGTTATAACGACTTTGTTTCTATTCTAAAATAAAACAAAAATTAGCGAACCTATGTAAAAGATAGGTCTTCGCTCATTTCTTTCGCCAATGTAATTACTGTGAAAGTCAGCCCAACTTGTAGTAATAACAGTGCCGACGAAACGGTTCTTGTATATGGCAAACAGTGATATGACTCATCCTAAAGAGGATAAGCAGGTTTTTGAAAAGTCATTTTGATAGTTTACATCTAAAGTAATGATCTTCTCAGTTATTTCTCCCTGAGTTACAGAGGGCATATGTGCATTTCAACGAGGGTACTGTTCTTTTGTAATAAATAACTCTGGATAACGATTTAGAGTTTTCCGTACGTCGTCGCCCAGTTTTTCTCAAACGTTTGTCCAAATCTGTAACACATTTGAAGTCCTTCTTTCATCACCACCTCCATTTGGCCTATCTTTCCTTTTTCTTTATACAAGAATGCTTGGTCAGTCTTCACCATGACTTTCCACTTGTGATCCTCATCTAGTTCTATCTCGGCAACGCGTTCCGCCTTTTGGAGTAGATTTCTTGCTTCTTCAAAGTTACCTTTGTTCTTGTGGCAAACTCCATAGTTTCTTAGAGTCAGAATACTCTCCTGATCATCGTCTTTTAATTTCATCAGTTTCTCTCTGTTAACTCTACTGCTCTGAAAACGCAAGGATGAAGTCTTCGCCCTAACAGATGACGCCAGTGACATATTAATCATGCAAGATCGCTCCGCAAGAAATATGCAAAATGACCCACGATCAACAAAGGAGATATCAATCTGTTTCATACCAAGCTTCAGCGACAAACAATGTCGATTTTTATTCAAGCCACGGAGCGGCGAACAATGGAGTAAACAGGACTGTTTACGTATACCGGGAAAATTGTTTAGCGCTGGCACCATATTATTATCAAACGGACAGTAGTCACGGTCCACGATTACGTCTTATTCGAGGTTACCACCGTCATATGTAGGAGCCGACACCTCAGCAGGGATGTCGACCGTGTTGGGACTGCGCCCCTGATCACTCAAAAGGGGCTCAATCATCCGAATGCTGTAACTGGGAAGTGGCTTGTGGTTGTGTACTGCTGATAATCGGAGTCATAGCAATTCTGATGGGGTTTATGGTGCCTCAAAAGCCGCGGAAAAGTCGCCACTCCCATGAGTCAGTCCCACGAGGAAAGAAAAGAATTGCATCAGATCAATCATTTCATTGATATTTTTGTCATATCAATGAGGACTTTCAGTCCTCTTTATCGGAGGTTTGCTCATTTCTGTGGCCCTGTTACTGCCTCTACTCAGGCGAAGGACCGAGCACCGACGTAAAGAACCGAGTGAGGTTTACGTGAAATCCGAACAGTTACCGCTGGCAAAGTCCCATCCTCTGAGACCCAGGGGCAGTTAGTGGGGGCGGGGAAAAGTCTCAACGGGCGAATTTTTTTCTCGCCCGTTGAGACTTTTCCCCGCCCCCACTAACTGCTCTGGGTCTCCGAGGATGGCCAAGTCCGGAAAGCCTTCAAGAGATCTGGGTTTTCTCAAAGATGTTGTTCCAGGAGATGTTGCACTACGTAAAATTCAACCCGAAAGTGTGAAAAGCGAACCCGTTGATTTAATTGCGGCATTAAAGTTTCCCTGAGAGAAGACTTGAAGGAGAAACAGCAATTCATGTATAT